GGTTGGCCTGGATCCGAGAGCAGTCCCACCGCAACTCTCCTATTGTCGAGGTAAGTTCCTTTTTCCAAACAAAAAAGATTCAATGGCCGCATTTCTCCAGGAGCTTCGATTGTAACCCAAGCGGTTCCTCTTATTACAGCTCAACTTTGTGCATTCAGAAGGTTAATCATCGCTTCAGGGCCAAAAATTGCAATACAAGTCCGAACTCAACGATAAATTCCCAAGAACGGCCTTTTTCCAGTCTTTATCCTCCCCCCCACCTACTCTCTCATATTAGGGAAGCGATGAATCCAAAATCAAAGCAAAGAATCGAGTCTCGAGGGTTTTCATTCATATCTGCATACATTTTTCAAAAAGATTTCTTTTTACTGTACTTCTTTTTTTTGGGTCATACCAAAGATGTACAGGCGGTCCGTGGTGACTGTAATTTTAACGATCTTGTCTACCTTTCCTCCGCATTCCTTTCCTTTTAGTGAGGTCGGTTCCGGTCCCAATGTGACCTGTATGGCGATACCCATACCATACTCTATGAGTATAGCAGGAATATCTGCCACGTCAATTCTGGTAGTCACACTGAAATGTGGTGATTGCAGGTATTAAAACTTGAAGTCGATAACTTTGTTTCAATACAGTTTCGTTGCGCTGGGGTGAAGGCGCGTTAATTTATAAGCTAAGGAAGTTGCAAAACCACTTTTGAATCACACTGCACTTGTCCCTTAAACACTGACTCAGAGAATGATTTGATACTTTGATGCAGATTATTGGCCAATATCGTGGTACACCTTGCATTAAACTCAAGTTATAAAGCTGTGACTTAGACATTGAACCTTAACTTTCAAAATCATTGAGGCTGTAGGCCTTGAATAGCAGCCTATGCCAGAAAAAATACTTCATATCACTCAGTGGAGAGGTTCTGGTATGGGTTGTAACATATATTCCCGCCGTTTTTTTATTGAGAAGTTTTATTGAAAGTTACAGCAATCATAACAACAAATTAGTCAATTATGTATTCGCCGTCATTGTTTACGACCTGCTCCCACCTCTCGACCAATTTATCAATGCCGTTTCGCCAGAAATCGCCGGGCCTGGACTCGAAGAAGTTGTTAAGCCAGTTTTCAAGGTGCTCGTCATTATCGAAGGTTACGCCCCTCATTTGGTTGGACAGCGAGCGGAAAAGATGATAATCCGTCGGCGCCAGATCCGGAGAATAAGGTGGATGTTGAAGAACGTCCCAATCGAGCTCTTGCAGGGCCGCTTGGACGATGTTTGCAACATGGGGCCTGGCGTTGTCGTGGAGCAAAATGACTTGGCCTTGTCGATCGGGTCTTTTCTGCTGGATAGCCTCATTCACACGGTGCAGTTGGGCTATGTAGAGATTCCCGTCGACTGTTTTGTTCTTCTCAAGCTTCTCCCAGTGCACAAGACCCTCCCAGTCCCACCAAACGCAGATCATGATCTTTTTGGGATGGAGGCTTTGCTTAACTCTCGGCTTTGGCGTGTCTCCTGGAGCCACCCACTCCTTCCTTTGATTCACGTTCACATAGAGACACTTTTTCTCATCTCCCGTGACAATTCTGTATAAAAATCGCTTCTTGTGGCCGCGTGTTGCTCGGTGTCGGGCGAGATGTTGAGCAGCAATTTGAAGGCGATTTTCTTTGTTGTTTCCGGTAAGCTCGTGTGGCACCCAAGCTCCAAGTTTTTGAGTAAAACCAATTGATTGAAGGTGACGGGATATCGTCATTGCATTGCTGTTCATCTTCNCCTGAAAGTTAAGTAAAATTACGTTATTCGGAAAAATGATGGCAATAAGTTTGTAGAGGAAAGAACGCTCTTTCGAATGACTATATCCACTTTGCCAAACTTCAAAAATATGGAGTGAAAACAAACAAAATATAAAAACGGCGGGAATATATGTTACAACCCAATAGTTTGAACATTTGATGTAATATTTTCTAACCCAACTGGTGCCATGGTCAAGATGTTTGGCAGACTGCATGAACATAACTTTAAAATGGAAATGCTTTTAGTGCTGGAGGATCTACAGTACATATATATAGACGATCCTGACTGAGCGAGTGACGCTAATTCTAACCATGTCCTAGAGAAGTTAGAAATCACTAATTTGGTACACAAGTACATGTTGGGATAAAGAGTGAAAAAAATCTGACTAGGTACATGCCCTGAGGGCACCCCTTTTCAGGGAGGAATGTTTTCATATGTATATATTTGCTTCAGTCAAACGAAGAGGAGAGACATGGAGTTTCATATGCATCCCCTTAGGGCATATTTCTTGGGTCTGACGTTTTCAAAGAATTCTATTTTGTCCCAACGAATTGAGCAAAAATAGAGGTGAAACTTTTCGCACGTATACCTAATGTGATGTCCAGTTTTGAAAAAATTCTATTTTTGGGTGCATCCCCTAAGGGCATGGCTTTGTGTCGATAGACTTGCATGTTATACCATAATGGAGCACATGAAAAAATCTGAAATCATACAAACAATATGTTATCGGAGTAATGATTTCCAAATAAAAATAATAGTGACGTCCCCTCGTGGCACATTTCGCAAGGGACTTTTTGCAACTTGGAAAACGAAATAAATAATTCACCATTCTGGATAATTGAGTGCTAAAGGCGCGACCATAGCAAGTTCGTTTACCGAAGGGCAAACAAATTCATTAGTACGGTATAAACTCATTGTGGTTTTCGGACCAGAACAATGGTCGGAATTGTCTTCCTACCTAATCTTTGGTGATTGGTCAAACCGTTTCTTGCCAACGTGAAATAGGATCTGCCAGGCCGAGAATCTAGCCTTAAGTGAATTTTTGTTCGAATTGTTACAGGAGAATGCTAGGTTGGAACATGTTAGCGGCACCTTATAAGAGTTCTACTGCATGATTCTCTCCAAAAACAAATGTTGAATCCAAAGGTTTTTATGTTCACCAGGCCCAGCCCGTACGTGGATCTCAATCGTGTTCGAAATGAAATTGTATGAGAAGTGATCATTGCAGATGAAGTCAAGAATGAGGGGCAGGAAGCATACGGAGGCATCAAGGCTTCTGAGGATCCTGCGGGTGGTGAGTCATGATGTCCTGATGAGAAGATGCTTGTGAATTTTTTTAATTCTCCACCTCCAACTTGAATTTTCCGTCATATATATCTCTTATGGAGGGAGCCTCAAGCTCTATTACAATGGCTATAGATCGAGATAAAAGAATCATGGAAAATCCTGATTTGATCCATGTTTAAGGTTTACCACTAGTTTATATCGATTAATAATGAGCATGAAAAATTTTCCTTGTTAGCTCATGAGATAGTAAGAAATGGTAACATGGAGAAGAGCTGAATATTCTTGATGTATCAAAAGTCATGAGGCATAATTTTTTACCAGGTCGGTTTCCTCGTCCTATTGCATTCCTGCACACTAGGGACAGCCCAAATGATTTTCCAAGGGAAGATGTTCGTCGTTATCGGAGGCATCAATGCAACGATTGGAAATCCGCTCAACACCATCACCGGCTGTGATGCCGTCCTCTGCGCGGATTCATGCCTCTGGTAAACTCTCCTCGAATCAGTGAACTCGCCCGATAGATCGACAAGAAGCTAATTTGTTTCTTCGACCGGTGGGTAGGAACGGAAACTGCCGGGTGTTTTCTCTCGAGACTCGGCCCACCACCACGGTCTGCCAACTCGGAAGCAATGGTTCCACCATCATCAAGAATCCCACCGGCATGTCTGCTGCTTTTTATTATGACAGTAAGCACATGGCAAAGTTCTACGATGGCTGAAAACCATGATGTTCGTTTTGTTTCATGTTTCGATTCGATATCTACAATCGATCTACTATACCCATCGCAGGTGAATATTATTCCAATTAAGTCATCATGATCGTCATTGTCATCGCCATAATGTGACTTGTAACGCGCATGTTAACGCTCTTGTAAAGTATTCATACAAGGAAAAGAAAGGCTGAAATTCACAACTCCAGTATTTTAATTAAGATGAAGAATTCGTAATTACAACAAAACTTCCTTTTCTCGGTCCATACCATCCAAATCATTATGGAGTAGCTTAGTTATTTTGATATAGAGCCGTTGAGGCTAACATATCTCAAACAAGGGAAGCTCGCGACAGAGACGGGCACCACATTGGCCATCAAATCATGTCAGTGAATATTTTGCGATTAGTTCAGGTTTTAAAACAAATACGAAATCTCCTGGTTGACATGATGAGCCGTGCAACTCACCCTTTGGCCCTCGCACGGATTACTTCCCTCCTGTTTCTTACAGGGAACACCGTCCCCCCTGGTTACACCTTTGCCATGATCACGGACAAGATGCATTTCCTGAAGCCTTTCACCGTATTCATGAACTACACCACTGGCTTGGCTGCTTGCAAGGCGGACGGCGCAAACCACCTCGTTCAGGACGACAAGGGCCTCACTTGGCACAACTTCATCTTGCAGTACGCCGCGTCGAACTTTGCCGCACCTGGCACTTTTTGGTTGGGAGGTGACGACCTGGATAGAAATCATATCTATAATTGGAACGACGGTAAGGGCTTTCCGAATCCGAGTCAACTCTTCATAGTCGGCAGCCGCACGTATAGATGATTAGTATGTATATATGTTAGTATGTATTTGAAATAGTGTAGTGAGGAAGAGTCTTCGTTAACGAGCTGGAGTTTAATAGCTGAGATTTCAGTCGATGTCCAGCACGAGAGTAGAATCTGCATCCAATTTGCATTCAATTGTCATCTTAATTTTTTGTCACAGGAACGTTGGTGTCGGCCTCGGTTCAGACCTTCTGGGAATCAAGGCAGCCAGACAATTCAGGCCCGTGCATCCAACTTCATTGGTATCACTCAGGTTTCCACGACCTGTGGGATGATTTCTTTTGTTCACAACTGTTTGGCGTGCTCTGCGAGGTCCGCTTGCCCTGAAGCATTGTAACGATCCAATACGTACTGTAACGGAAATACGTGTTAACGGTTGCATTTATGGGGACTGTGCCTTTCGTGACGGGGCTGTGATTCACTTACATTGCTTACATTACTTTTTTTGCCAAATTCGACGGATGAAAATAAGCAGTAACGAATATAAAATTGAGGAGTGTTTTTTTTTTTTTAAATTATGAAGCACTTTTCCGAGCAAAAAATTTTTTTTTTCCCACCTGGAGTTCATGCGTTTTTATTTGCTTCTACAAGACGTCGCAGAAATTCGTGTGTCGAGTGTTCGTGCAAGTTTATCATGTTTCCTTCAAGCACTTTCAAGCTATTCTGGTTATTGTACATTTGAAAATGTGCACATCGTCATCAAATTTGACATTCAATATTTTTACTCTTATTCTGTTGATTTGAAGAACTCATCGTCTCTGATCAGGAGATTTTGTATGCAATAAATGGTTGCAGTGCATATTTCTGAATATTGCCCAATATTGCCATCTCTGCACGGTAGAGGGTAGCAGTGGGATCCCTTCCCTTTCCCCTTTCACAAAGGCAGAAATGACAGTGGAAGAAAGAAACCATGTCACTGCAATCTCTGGAGGGGATGGGGAACTGATGCTTTGGAGAACTTCAGCGCGACCTCGAGATATAGAACTTAGTGAGCCACAATTGCTGCTATCACTTCATGTTCTCACTTGCTGCCGTCGTAATGACTGTATCAAGAAATGACTACTCGTTAACAGATGTACAATTTTAATTTTGTGAAAAATGCTTCCCCCCCCTTCCTCCCCACCCCACCCCAAATACTAGGCCATTTGCCTATTCAACATAGGTCAAGAAACAAGCCGATAGTTAGATAATAGCCTTCCTGTAAGATGTATAATTGAATAGTTCGTTGTGCTTTCTTCATTTCATATTTGTCTGTCCGGCACATAATAATTTATTCATGAATAAATTAGTGGTTCCATTAAAAGGACACAAGCGTAAATCAGCATTTAATGATTCCCTGAGTCATATATTAGTAAAAATGATACAATAATTCCATCCTTTCCATACATACTGTATGTATATACATGGATTGCACAATAAAAAGTGGAAGGATGACAAAAAAAAACCTTATACTACATCAGGAAAGCCAGTACTAAAAAGAATTTGTAAGGTGCAGGGAACATGGGTTCCATCTAGTGAGGTACCGTAACTGGTACTGTAACTGCGGGATGGTCAGTTAAAGGATGGTGTGGTGTTAATTTTGCATGAACTTGATATCGTGTACTACACGTCAGATGGAGTGACGTCTAGTTCATGTCAAATACACGTACACTTTGGTGACTTAAATAGAAGAAC